CTTCCCATTTTACCTCACTATGAATGGAATACTTTTAAACTCTGTAATGGATACAGAATGGATTTTGGGTTGCTTTCAGCTGCTTTTCTGATTCCAGTGCTGCCACCCCTAGCTGAAATCATCATAAACGTTCCTTCAGAGATTTTTCTATATGGATCTCTTACAAGTTTGTACAGTTTTCTCTTTCTTGATCACAGTCTGATTGTAAGACGGACCCTATAGGAGCTGCTTGAATGGTGGGAGGACTGCATACAGTGGACAACCAGATATTATAATAAGAATTGTATGAAAAACACAGATTGTGAGACAGTTACATGAAGTCTGTGTATGGACGTGACTGCTTAGGATATTCACGTAAGTCCTCATTTCACAAACAGATAGGGGCCTCCTGAATGAGGTTTTGTTTTCTGGATGAGTGCCTTAAACAAGTGTCCCTGGTTTTTTTTTTTTTTTAAAGGCATAGTTAAGAATAAAAACAGCTGTATTCATTATACCTGCTGCATAGACATTGCACCAAACTCTTTTCTCCTTGCTCCCTCTTAACAATGCTATCTTGTTTGTTTTTAGATGACTTCTATTGTTTACATGACTAATCTCAGTCCATGACCAATCACTACTGAACCCCTGTGAGTCAGGGGTGTATTATGATTTCCATGCTACACATGATGGCTTCATGTTGAGAAATTAAAGCCACTGTTTGGGGACTCTCTGCTGTGTATATCCTAAGAGGGCAGAATGCAGGTATCTGAATGTGTCTTATCCACACAACCATCTTGACTTTTCAATGGGATCTTCACATTCACATCTGTGTGGATGTGAGAAACCTGTGAGTCAGGGGTGTATTATGATTTCCATGCTACACATGATGGCTTCATGTTGAGAAATTAAAGCCACTGTTTGGGGACTCTCTGCTGTGTATATCCTAAGAGGGCAGAATGCAGGTATCTGAATGTGTCTTATCCACACAACCATCTTGACTTTTCAATGGGATCTTCACATTCACATCTGTGTGGATGTGAGAAAATT